CACACACACACACACACACACACACACACACACACACACACACACACACACACACACACACACATGCAGCCCCACATGAAGACATTTCTCTCTTCTTCCAGATGCCCTGGATGTCTCAAAAATGTTCTTCCTCTCCTGCAGAGAATCTGAGGACCACCTTTTCCTGCTCTTTCTGTACTTCCTTTTTTTTATAGAAAGGCAGAGCAACCAGTAGTGGAATCAGGGGTCTGTTTTCTTCTCCCCTTCCCCTCCTTCATGCCCCCACAGTTGAGGTCAAATTCGGTGTCAGTGTCAGATTCACCAAGGAAAATCACATCCCTAGGCTTATTTTGAGATTATTCATAGATCATATCACTTCTTAGCGTTGGTTCATGCTGGCAGTGTTCGAGAATTGTGAATATCCTGGAAACCCAGCTGAGTTATGGTTAAGCTGGACTCACTTCTTTGCTTTCACCATCCTCATTACTGAAGAGGGTCATCGGGTGCTGGATCCGCCACGGAACTTGTCACCTCCCTCACACATCTAGAATGATCTAGTCAATGACTTGCCCACACTCATATAATCAATGACTTGCCTAGTGTGGTTCAACATTCTTCTACTCACTAATACTCCTTGTGACGCAGTATCACCACTGTTTAGAGCTCTTTGACAGAATCATAAATGGTAGTTTATTGAGGACAACCCTGAAAGTTGAGATGCGCCAGGTACTCCCTTGGTTGGCATGCACGATTTGCCCTGGTGCTCATGTCACCATATGTTTCATGTGACCAGCATGTTTCTGATAGCTCTCCCATTTACCATGTGAATTATGCCTTATGATGTTCATACACCCCGAGCAATCTCCACCCCATCCAGATTGCTCCTGCTGCACTTGTCATCACAACTTCTGGGCCTCTATCTGACTTTCCGTCTATGAGCAAAACTTCCCTCACCCCTTATCAGCCCCTCTCTTTTTTCTCTTACTTTTGCTTTACTTTTGGTTTAAAGGAAATCAAATCAATCTACTTAGGCAATGCTCCAGCACGCCTTCTCTCTTGTACCCAATGTGATAACCCACATGCGCCCATCCGGCAGGCTTGGTCGATCCGCCCTCGACGAATAGTCTACGCCCGACAGCCTCTGATGATCAGCAGCAGACAACGACTGAGGATTCATGAAGACAAGGGTGTTTATTTATAACGAGCATAACGAGTATCATTCCAGTTTTGAACATACAGCAACAGCAGATCTTGAAGGGTTTAGAACGTAGGGTTTATGATATTGTGCTTTCTTACTGTGAATGCATGTAGTCCGGCTCATGGTTGCTGTGTTTACGCCATATGTTTGAATTTGTGGACATTCTTTGGATCGATATGGAACAAGGGAACGCATTTCAGGGAGATGAACACAGCTGAAGCTGCATTGAGTTTTTTTTTCATGGAACTCATGGACAAATACTCATAAATACCTCCAAGGCTCCAACTTCAACTTCCAGCTGAAGGCCACACACAGTAGGGTTTAGGGTTTCGTATCGCCGAGTTCATGGTTGCTGTGTTTACTCCATCTACTTTAGTTTGCAGACTTTGTTTGTAGGATGGACATGGAGCATATCTGAGCAAGGGAACATATTTCTGGAGGATGAATACAGCCGAAGGTATCAACATTGACGTTTTCTAATGGAATTCATGGGAAACTGCCTTCGACTTCAAGTCTTCGACTCACACCAAGTTCACCAACTGATTGAAACTTGGGTATTCGTGTTTGTAGTTTATACCATGGCACTGAAGTGTTTTCTCAATCATTAGGTAGCATGGAACAACTGAATCGTGGTAAGTAGGATATGCGATAGTGGCTCTCATGTTGTCAGGAAGTTCTCTAACCCTACTCTACTTCCCTCTTTATTCAGGAGGATAAAGAGCACCTTGACTTTCTGGAGATATGGCCTGATTGAGCTGCTCCGCCCATGCTTGTTCGTGAATCCGCTCGACCCTTATCAGGAAGAGAACCATGCCAATGTGCGACTCCCTGCCGTCACGCGCGTGGTTAATGGGTGGTGTCACCGTAACTGCCATATTGCCTTGATAAAAACACCGAATTTTTGGCCTTCCATTAACCATGCAATCAGACTCGCTCTCATTCACACTTCTCATGCATGCAAACAGGTGCGCAGCAAACTGGCGACGAGCGCCCACTCAGAACTCAGAGATATGGTAACCGAGAACACAGTTCAGATTCAAGTTCACTTCGGTGGCTATGGCGACTCAGCGCCCACACAACTCACTGTTCGCATACACAGGATCACCCTGGATATCCCACACGCGATACTCTGAACACATACACACACACACACTGAACTCTACTACAGCTATGGCGGCTATGGCCGCTTCTACCCTATCGCTATGGCTACACTCCTTCTCTCTCTCCCACTTCGTCCTCGGGCTCACTGCAGACCTCCTTGCACAAGTCGCTTATGGCAGCGCTTCCGCATGGCTCACGCAGGAATGAATGAATGACTGGGCGCTGCCTCTTGATTTATACTTCTGCAGCTCGTTGGTCTGGCCCTTTCCCATGCCCGTAGTGCACACAGTCCCATGCGGTACTTGCTTGACTGGACCAGGACTGACTGGGGACTGGGACTGTTGACTCAGCACGGCTAGACTCCACCGCTTGCCCACTTGCCTCACCACTTGCCCACTTGCCTCAGCCTAAACGTGGGCAACTTCAAAAGGCCACTACTGGGACCTTCTGGAAGGCCGTAGACTTGGCCTTTCTGTAGCAGCTACGACCTTGATCTTTCTGGACTGTAGCAGCTACAACCTTGACCCTTCGAGACAGCTACAGCTAAGACTGCTAGACCTGACTGGGACTCCTACTCGACAGATCTACAGATCGAATCCCTGCTACCTGTGGACCCTACGACAAGCTACCAGCTGTTACAAATGCACAGGTCACGGGTTCAACTCTAGGGGTCGACACAGATACTGTACACAGGTAAGGTGGGGACTAGGGATCGAGCCCTGGGGTCTGCATCAGCTACTGCGAACTGGTGAATACGGTTTCAACCATCTCTCTGCTGTCAATGTCCAAAACTTGAAGCTGGAGAAGCCCGGTGGAAGGGTGAACACATTGAGCTGAACAAGGACCATTCGAAGGCAGTGGGGCTCAGTCAGTGGGAAGCTAGATTGAGCCTGCAGCCAGTAACTTAAAGGACCAGTACATGCCAGACAACCGCCGCGGGCCCCTTTCGGAGGCCACCACCCGCCGATGTACTTTATCAACGGCGCACAAGCCGTCAAAATTTCAGGAGAGGCTCAATCAACTTGGCTGAGGCCATGTACTGGTGGTTTAAAAGGACTAGTGTGCTACATATGTACAATCGGAACACACGGGATGCTCATTTACTACATTTAGTATGTGAATGCCCTCGCCTCTTAAGAACATTTTGAGGTTACCACCATTGATAGGTTGTGATTGCCTATGTCTTGAGGGCCATAATGGATCATCAATACATTATTATCATATATGCAAGGAAAATGAGCGAGAGCGATAGACAGAAAACCATATTGTAATATCATGCTGAAGTCCAGATAGTCGTGCACCAAGCAGAAAGCACAATGCATGAGATACAAGTCAAATAAGAGCAATACAAATTACAATGAAGTTGAATGAACTCAAATGTCAATGTTGACACTTTCTTACCACACCAACAAAGTATCCAATGTCGCCCTTCTTGATTGGCGCTCAGCGGAGTCAGCGCCCAGCCTTTCCTACTCAGCACCTATCTAGCCTAGACTACGATATGCAACAGGAGTCACTTCAAGCCGAAGACCAATGTATGTGACGTTTTCGCCAATGCAAACTGCCAGCAAACACCAGGTACGTGTCTCTTCTCCTCTCCTCCCACAGCATGTGCCCGCATCCTGAAGACCACCATCACCTACCAGCATGCGCCCATGCAGCCCGGCGATGGCCGCAGTGCTCCCGCTGCCACCGCAGCGCCCCTCTTCCCTCCAGTGCCCGCGCGCGCCTCTGACTAGTGCTCAGGCAGCCTCCTGCGCTCAACACAGCAGCGTGGCAACCCGAATGTGCAAGGCCAGAATGTGCCTCTGCTGGGCGAGACACTTTCCTATATGGAAAGTGCTGCCCAGCTCCTGGCTGGGCCTGGCGTGCATGTGCCCAGTAGCTTCACATTGGGCCAAAGTGTCTGCACCGAGGCCCATTCAGACAGTTGCCTGGGCCCACAGCAGTTAAGCTGCCCGACTGTGCGACGTGGCTGCTGTCACTCGCTGGAATGGGCCTCCAGCCATGTCGCTCCCTTGCTTCTCATTGGCCGAGAGCCTCTGCCATGTCGCATGCGAAGTGATCACCATGTCATGCTCCCACGAACGTGGCCCTTTAACCAACTGGCACGTGGTAACTGTCTGGCGCCCCACAATGCAGAAATGACAAAAATACGGTCTCCTGGCCAAATGCAGGCCTTCCTTCACTTAGGGTGGGCACGAGGCTTGCTGGGGCCCAAACGGGAAGACAGGTGTCAGGCCAAAAAGGCCTTTGCAAGGGCTCAATCCTCGCATATTTTCATTCATCCTTCTTATGCACTCGTCAGTTAACCGGAACTTAACCCATATGTGAGAGCTGGGTGTTGACATCCTTGTTCTGTTTGGCTTCGCCTGATCACAGCAGTTTATCAGTGATTAATGGGTCCGACAGGAAAGTCTGCAAAACTTTGGTTACTTCTTGTCAAGTTCCCCTTAATATCTAAAGTGCTTCCCTTTAAGTGCCTTTTAAGTGGTTTTTATGCTGCCCCCATCGCAGTAAGCCAGAGATAAAATCAGATAAAGTTGATGACCATCTGAGGGCCAAGATTGGCAACACATGGTAGTCGATAAGGATGATCCGCTAGAACAAAAACTTGACTTTTAGACCAGCGTGGGGGGCTTGGGAGGGGGACGCCATTGGCAGCCTGCTGCAATCACCCACAAGCAGCAGCAAGACCGGGCTTAACTCAGTAGCATTGCAGGTTCTTGACTGACGGGACTGACACTCTGGCTGTCTGAGTCCCGTCCGTCGAGATGCGATCTCAGATGACAGGGTCTCGTCTGTGTGTGTTGTCGAAGAAAGAAAAAACGGAAAGAAAGGAGTGAACCACTAACGTCTCTTTGGGTCTACGAGGTCAGCATGAACATATTAGGCGCCATTAGCACACCTTGTACGCACTGGGAGGCATCTGGCTGCCTGGATGATCCATATGCACAAGACCTGACCTTGTGTAGAAGGCTACCAACGGGCCTTCCACACAAGAAAGAGGGGACTTCCTTGTGTGAGTTGACCTACTAACGGGCTTTGACTGATTCATGGCGATCATTTGGGATGAGTTGTGTTTGACTCTAGAATGACGGGAAGACTTCCAACGGGCCTAGCTCAGCTGGCACACCCCTGAACTGTTGAAGTACGGACTTACTTCGAATCCCGCTCGACGCCGATTGGGAAAAAAAACTCTGGATTTTTTTATTTTTTTAATGAAATATATCAAATATATAAAATTTATTAAAATATATAAAATATATAAAATAACTCTAAATTTTCCGGGCCGGTCAGTTTGAAGATGGTATCTCGAAAACAAAAAGGAAAAAACTGAGAGTAGAACATCATTCGCCGTCGACGACGAGAGAGAGGTACAGAGCAGTTTCTTTTTGGGATCTCGTTCTCGGTGGTTATAGATTGGTGAAAGCACTCGGCGGTTGATGAAAGCGTCCAGCGGTCAGTTTTGAAGTCTGTCTAACTCCTCCTCCGGTCCATGACGGCAAAGAAACGTAAAGTGCTTTTTTTTTACTAGCGACTGAGATGGTCAAATCATCCAACGGCAAAACAACTGGGACACAGTGGTCTGGTTTTCGACTTTCGACGCCGACACTTTGTAGTCGATGTTCTCTACAGGGCTATCATCGTGTCGATCTTTGTTATCTGGGTCGGGAACATGGTCGTGGCGTTGCTGTTCGGTCTTAGCGCTGAGCCACCGCACGAGATACTCTGCCTCTCCGGCGAGTTCGGGGCGAACCCCCGAAGAGAGGGCATAGGCGTTCCACCGACATGCTGAATAAGCCTGAATTGCTCAGAGCAAAAACTGCTAAAGTCCTCCGAACATAAATCCCTGCTACCGTTGGCTGTGCTTAGTCAGGATAGAGCCTGTGTGCATGCATTTCTGATGATAGCTGGTCGTGTTTGGAGGAATAAGGTAGCGCCTGATGCAGCCAGAAAGCTTTGTGCATTCCATTGAGGGGAAGGACGATCGTGCAGCGCTCATGCCACTGGCGCAGCTATGTTCAGGCTAGGAAAGCAGGAACCTGACCTCTTTTTCGGCTGGGTTCATGCCTTCGGAACATGAACATAGCACCAGCGGCTTATGACCCTCAGTATTCAGTAAGAAGTCCACGCTCTGTGTAGCCCTCCTGCCAAAATACTAAGCGTGTGTAGCCACGGCCAGACTTTATGGCTGAATTTGGTCGTGATTGCAGTCAAAGGAGATATCCCAGGAAGTCCTCGTCTGAGTATTCCCTGTGAGACTCTTGGATCATCTGACGGAAGAGAGGTCTTCCTCATCTTAGCCAGCATTCTTTGACATTTCTTGAAATAATGAAGTTCCTGTAAAGAGTATATGAAGTGCTGATAAGTTGTGATGACCTCTGTTTTGCGGTGCTAACCATGATGATGACGGTGCCGGTCAGGAAGAGCGCTCTCCGTGTTTCGTGCAGCATTCTGCTGTTCATTTAGAGTTTTTAGCATCTGTAGGATCTCTTTCTTTGTGTTTTCTTACGATCTCTTATCCGCGTGATGAACTGGACAATGTTCCATATGTGTTCGCAGCCTTTTTCCCTTTGTTTGCCTGACATTGTGTCGGTGTGCTCCGTTCTCCTCCATCTCTTTCCTCGTTTCTCTAACTTTTATCTCTGTTCCCCCCCTCCGCCCCAATCACCCCCCGTGTCAGTTTCTCCATTTTTGGACCCTGTGTTTCCTTCCGCTGCCTCGTCAATGTGTGATTGGCTCCTTCCTTCCTTCCGCCCTCCCTCCCTGCCTTGTCGCTCCCTTCTCACGCTCTTTTCTTCTCTTGCTTGACCCGTTGTAAAACTCTTGCTTGCCATCAGCTGAGGGAGTCTTCCAATTGGCCCTTCTTGGCTTCTGATATCGGACGTCCTTACGATTAGTTTTTTATTGCCTCTGTGTCTGAATGATCGTGCTTTTGTGAGCAGTTGAGGGAAGTTGGTGGCCGCCGGTACGTCCAGGTGCGTAACCCATGGGGATTTGTGATCACGTGGGAGGGCCAGTCCTCCACTGGCAGCGAGAGTTCTGCTGCCTGGGCAGGAGACCATCCAGTCATGCTATTGGAGGAAGGCATGTCAGTGAAGCCAGATGTGCGCCGCGATGATAAATCGCCGGCAGCTTATTGGATGGAGTACAGGAACGTGGTCAAGGTAACCACAGCTGCCAATGTCTACGTTGCCCACCCTTCCTTCTCCTCGCTATCTCTCCGTCTCCCCATCTCCACGTCCGCACCTCCCCAGCTCTGTACAATCGCCTTCTCCCCATTCCTCCCTCCCCCACCCTACCTCC